TGGTGATTAATCCTGTTAAACGCATGTCTTACCATCAGTTTTCTTTATTTTCTTTATACTTCCAAAAAATTGTGGAAGGCAGCAAGTATTTTGCAAAGTTATGTACCTTCACATCAAGAGCAGCTGCAGAGAAACTGTGATACAAAATGCCTAATTGCAGTGAAATCAACAGTTTGAATAGTTTTCTGTTTGTGTTTGGGTTTTGTAGAGAATCCATGTGTTCAGTAACAGAAATTAGACGTCTTAATATTTTGTACAAAATAATAAGGTGTATATATGAGTTTGTAAATTGTTCAGTAAGATTCAGTACAATTGCAGTTCAGTTATTTATACTGTTATTTTATTTTATGTTGGCAAGTATTTGTATGTTATCTCCTCCTCTTATATACCCAGTCATTTTTTTTTCATAACAAAAATGTGGAAAAAAAATATGGCAATCAAAGGAAAAAAGATATAAGTATTGGCTGAAAAAACTGGGACATGTTCTCTGTTGTCCGCAGATCACCCAATGTCCTCTTTTCTATGTATAGTTGTATGTATTCCATATTTGGAACATTTGTACAGTGTTTTATTGTTAGGGGTTAGTCTCGTAGACAGTTAAGAATTGTCTTCAGATTTAATTTGAAAAGTTCCAGTGAAGCATACTACACGGGCTGTAGATGAAGACTGTACACAAAGAGAGATAGTGGAGTTGTCATCGTTATCATCAGGTATTAGTGTTTAAAGAGAATTAAGGTTTTAAGTGCATTTTTTTTGTAATTTTTTTCCTTTTTTGTGTGTGTGTTGTGCAGTCTTATTTTTCAGGCTAGTGTGGTTGATGAATTTAAACTGTATGTTTAGAAACTGCTCTTCAGTGCTGCTTAAATGTAAGGAATGATGCCATTGGCTGCACACTAAAATTTAACGTCCAGTTTTAGAAACAGGTTGTAAAATAATTGTATATAAAAATAGAGAATAAAAAGAAAAAAAAAAGACATAAAACTGGGCTAAAAAAGAGTAAGTGAATTTGTGAATATGAATGTATGTGAGTGTGTGATGATTGAGTTAGTGAGTGAGTTAGTGTGTTGTAAGTGTAATGGTGTGTGTGTGTCTGTTTGCGTTCATATGTGCATGCGTACATGGATGTGTGCGTGTGTCTTTCGGTTTGAGAGTGAGTAGGTGACAGGAAGAAAGAAGTAAAAGATTATACATTTGCCGTAGAATGATGGCTGCATATGGTGTTCATGGAATAATTGGAGCTGTATGGGAGTATTTAGTATTATACTTCTGCATTCACATCTTTAAAAGTTTCCAGTAATCTGTTTATTTAGAAAACAGAGTGTTTATTGAAGATATATGCTCTCAGAGTTTGTATTATATCGATTGGTCACTATTCTTTCCTTGTATTTCATTTGTCTCCCATCAGAGATTAATCTCAAGTTTTGTACAGTCGCTGTTTATTCAGTGTGATTAAACCACTTAACTGCTTTACTTTTCTGTTTTCTTATATTCTTTTTTTATTCATCATCCATGTCTTTTTTTTATTTTGTCATTGAAATAGTGTGAAGTTCAGCAAAGCTGAATACTGTGCACCCATATTCTTTTGTAAGGCATTTATGTCCTCTTTTCCTTTTTTAGATTTATATATATATCTTTTTTTTCCTTCTTTAATGAAAGAATGATATGAACTACAAAATCTTATTTTCAAGACAATGGTTGAAATGAAAAGATCCTTTCTTTGTTTCCTAAACTGTAGAATTTTTAATGGGTCGAGTTATTATGCAAGAGACTTGGGTGTGAGGTGTCAGTTTCAAAGCATTATGGAAAGTTCAGTACTTTTGAAGATTGAGTGCTTCTGTGAATTCATTGGGGTTCAAAATCTGCTATATCTTTTCTGTACGTCCAAATTGTGAGAACATATAGTGTGTGAGTTCTTAATCCACCTTTGTATGAATAAATTATTATTAAATTAATTATATGACATGTAGTAAAAGCCTTTGGTTTTATGGAATAAAGTCTTTCTTATCTAAATAGATTGCCAAATTTTGTAAACTAGGCAGTTTTCTTATACCCTTTTCTTTTTTCTTTCACTGAAGTATCATTCATGGAATCTCAAGTGATTTATGTGGCTTCTTGGTAATTCTTTAGAATGTATTTATAATATAGTTATTTCTTAAAATCTTCTCTCCTCTCTCTCTCATTCCTTCAAATATTTGTCAATTTCCATTCTACTCTTCTGGCATACTGGGCTATAAACAACACTTTTTGAAAGATATTGTTGTAAGATAATTAAATAGATATTGTTTTATATTTTTTTCAGTTTTTTGCTTCTCCTGGATGAACTAATGTTCTTGGTTAAGAATAGTTGTGTCGTGAGAGTTGAATCTTTTGTGTAGTGAATTGAAAGGGAGAAAATGGTCAAATAACTAGAGACTTCTGTAGTGACTCGTGTTATGATACTACTTGAAAATTATCTCATCTGGGTGTTTGGAGGGATCGGCAGTGTGTGAAAGTAAGTTGCTTGATTTTATACAGGAAAGAGAATTGTGCTCCATTAATGTGTCATATGTGCAGCTATTCATTTACACTTGACACACCTACACTATGTGATGGTGCAAGCGCAATTACTCTACTGCCACTCTCGCTCTCACTCTTCACTGTCTGACTCAGTTTTATTCTCACTCTCATTCACTCTTATTTTTATGTCATTTTCTCTCTCTCTCTCTCTCTCTCTCTCTCTCTCTCTCTCTCTCTCTCTCCTCTCTCTCTCTCTCTCTCTCTCTCTCTCTCTCTCTCTCTCTCTCTCTCTCTCTCTCTCTCTCTCTCACTCTCTCTAACTATCTCTAACTATCTCTCTCTCTCACTCTCTCTCTCACTCTCTCTCTCTCTCTCTCTCTCTCTCTCTCTCTCTCTCTCTCTCTCTCTCTCTCTCTCTCTCTCTCTCTCTCTCTCTCTCTCTCTCTCTCTCTCTCTCTCTCTCTCACCCTCTCTCTCACCCTCTCTCTCACCCTCTCTCTCTCTCTCTCTCTCTCTCTCTCTCTCTCTCTCTCTTCTCTCTCTCTCTCTCTCTCTCTCTCTCTCTCTCTCTCTCTCTCTCTCTCTCTCTCTCTCTCTCTCTCTCTCTCTCTCTCTCTCTCTCTCTCTCTCTCTCTCTCTCTCTCTCTCTCTCTCTCTCTCTCTCACACACGCACACACACACACACACACACACACACACACACACACACACACACACACACACACACACACACACACACACACACACACACTCACACTCACACTCACACTCACACTCACACTCACACTCACACTCACACTCACACTCACACTCACACTCACACTCACACTCACACTCACACCCACACCCACACTCACTCACTCACTCACTCACTCACTCACTCACTCACTCACTTACTCATTTCCCATCACAAACTCACACACTATTCTCACACATACATGTTCCCTTCTCCTTTTCAGCACTTGCGAAGGAATAAAATAGATCAATAGACTTTTTAGGAAAACAAGCTTTTCAATTTTTAGGATTTTTTTTTATTGTAATTCCTGTCAGGGATACATTTCAAATAATATAATAAGGTGAACTGAATAGAATGTAGAGTTAACTAATGTTAAAATATCCAATGGCAAAACTTTACGGATACTTTTGTATCAGTAAACTGTAGTTAAATTGTAATTATTTTTCTTTTCAATCATTGCTGGAATAGAATTAATTTTCGTATATTGTCATTTGTTAAATTATGACGGTTGTTGTAGCCAGTGTCTTTAGGTGCTAATTTCCATTACAATGACATGTAATTTTCACACTTAGTGCTTAAGATGGTGTAGGAGTGATGTGAAATTGTTTAAAAAACTAGATTTTTTGATTAGTCATGAGAATGAGGATTTAGTCTTTTTTCCTTTTTTTTGTGTACATTTTTTTCTGTACATCTTTTGTTGACATTTTTCTATTTGTTTCTATTTTTCTTTGTCTTTTCTTTTGTTTCATTACTTTTCTCCTTATATAATTATTCCTCTCATCATTATTGGTCATTAGTCCTATTGGTTATTAGTCATTATTGGTTATTTTGGCATAACCATTTTTTCTTGATTCATTTCTTTGGTAGTATTTGGGATAATGCTTAACCCAGCCAATTGATTTCCCTTTTTTTTATTTTCTTCTTTTGGTGCATTTGTTTTTGTCCCGGGGAAATGCAGAGATATTTAATGGAGCATGGTGTTTTAATTGCATTATAAGTAAACAGATATTCATAGATTTTTTTATAGAATTTTCTCTATACTCTCTAATATTGGTTTGAATTACTCTTTACGTGCTACCTCTTTCATTTCAGTTTTGTTTTTATTATTATATTATTATTGTTATTATATTATTATTATTTTTATTATTTATTATTTATTTTTATTTTTATCATTTATCATTATGATCATATATTATTATTATTATTATTATTATTATATTATTATTATATTATTATTATTATTATTATTATTATTATTATTTATTATATATTATATATTATATTATATATTATTATTATTTACCATTATTCATTACATTATTTACTATTATTATATTATTATTATTATTATTATTATTATTAGTAGTAGTAGTAGTAGTAGTAGTAGTAGTAATAATACTGGTAGTAGTACTAGTAGTAGTAGTATTGTTTTTTGTTGTTATTATTATTGTCATTATTGTTATTGATTATGATATTATTAATAATTATATATAATATATATATATATATATATATATATATATATATATATATATATATATATATATATTATATATATATATATATATATTGATGTTGTTATGTTATTATTTTTTCTTCTTTTGTATTATTATTATTACAAATATGATTATAATGAGTGTAATTTATTTAATTGAATTTTATATATATTATTTTATTTTTTCATTTATTTTCAATTTTCGGTTTTCATTTTTTTTGTTTTCTTTTATAGGTTTTGCCTTATTTTTGAGCGAATCAGCAATAATCTTTTGTATATGACAGATGGGGTCATGTGATTTATGTACATAGAGTCAGTGAAACAGAAAATCAATAAAAAATTGAAAATTCCAGTGATCTTTTATTCATACTAAAAATAAGCATGAATGTGTAACAAAATTTAGAAAAGAATGGAAAAATGTTAGCATATATGTGTGTGTGTGTGTGTGTGTTGTGTGTATATATATATATATATATATATATATATATATATATATATATATATATATATATATATATATATATATACATATATGGAATATAAGATTTAAGCATAACATTACGTATAGTGGTTGTCGTACTTTTAATGATGCCTATCAGTTATGATAAAATAACATCCATTGAAAAATCTGAAAAGGGAGCGAGTTATAAATTGTATATTTTCTTTATATCTAATAATTTTGATGTGTAGCACATTTATTTTCTTGTCATTATTACTTATTTATATCTAATCCTTGACAGTCACTAGAATCTTTCTTTTGCAATATTTTACCTTTTCCTAAACCGAAGGATATATCAATTGATATAAAAAAAAAATTATTATCCATAGAACTAACTTTATTCACTTAATCAAATCCAGACAATACATGTATAAGATGGAGCGTTTTTCTACACTAATACATTGACGGAACAAGAGTATAGAAATATGTGCAAAAATGTATGAAAAAACTTTGGACAAAAATCTTCAATATAGGGAATGTTTTTTTTTTTTTTATTATTTTCTTATTACATGACAAATGCATTTATAAGGATAGGCTCGTCTAAAAATAAAGGCCGATAATGTCTTTAAGAAATAAAAAAAAAGAAGAATAAATAAAATTGTTTTCTAGCTAACGACACAGAACAAGAAAGAAAAATAAACATAAACCCAATGTTTTCTTTTTTTCCCATGAGAGAAAGGAAATGGGGAATGAAGGATAATGATAAATAGAGAGATAATAAGGGTATCTATTTCCTCACAAACTTGCTTTCTGGCAGGAATAAACATGAACTTAGCTTTTAGCAGTGAACACTTCTTTAGGAGGGGTACGAGTGAAGCTTTTTTTTATTATCATTATTTCTATTTAAACGTTTCAAAAAGGGGACTGGGGAAGGGTGGGGAGGGGGGTAAGGCTGGGGGGGGGAGGGGATGAGGTTGAAGGGAAGGCTTTAGGAATTTAGAAAAAAGGGAGGGGGGGTTAGTGGTAGGGGAGGAGAGGAGGGGGGAGTACGTGGGGGGAGAGGGGGGGGAGTCTCTAAGTGTCTAAGGCATTTTGCAATAAACTTTCTTCAATACACAAAAGGGACTATAAAAGTACAAATTGGTTAATTTTCTTGAGGGTTTGGATTTTAAAATTCAGTTTGTTCGTCGACAAAATTCCTAATAATCCGTAGAAAAAGATGGCATCATAAATGTACTTTAAGAAAAAGAAAAAAAAAAAAAAAGAAAAAAAGGGAGGGGAAAAGAGAAGCAAAAACTATCATACTGAACAATGATGATGATTAATAACAACAATAATAATAATAATGATAATAATATCAATAATGATAATAATAATTATTATAATAACTTAGAATCGAAATTATTACAGAGGACTCTATATAATGTTGGCCTTACAAGATTTGATGTGAATTCATAATTTAATACATATAAAGAAAATAAGAACAAATAAACAATAAAAAAACATTCATTAGGTTACAAGGAAATCAAAAAATAACAATAAAGAGACAGAGAACGCACGAGAGAGAGAGAAAAGTTCCTATATCTAATGTCAAACATCAATTAACTTGTCAGGATTATTTATACCTTACGTGTGTATAATACAAAGGATGGAACTAATATTTTCTCTTTTTTCCAAATGTCAAAGCATGATAATGTGGCATTACGTCAATGTAACGCTTTTTTATCTTTATTAACTTTCCACTCATTAATTATTTTCGTTTCGCTGCGTTGGTGTCCTACGCGAAATACTTTGAAAATATATTTCACTACTTTTCTCAATATACTAACATTTTACTAAAATTACGTTTACAAAAAAAAAGAACAGGGATGAATAGATAGATAGAGATGGGGATAGAGATAGAGAGATAGATAGATAAATAGATAGTATATAGATAGATAAATAGAGAGAGAGAAATAGGAAGAAATAGAAAGAATACAAAGACAACTAAAGAAGGAAGGAAAAAAATTAAGACAAAGGGACAGAAGAAAATGGGAGACACCAAGTAAACTAATAAAATACTCTTAAAGTTAACAGTTTGCAGAAAACACATGATGGCGTGAAGTTCAACACAAGAACTAATGATGAAAATATTTTCTGTTATTTTCACTACCTTCCATCATATCTGCTGGTGATGACTAAATATGTAAATAAGAGAAATTACAAATCTTTTTGTATCATTTTATTTATTTGTTCAGACTATTACGAGTGGGAAAGTTAGGAACAAAAACACAAACAAAAAATGTCTTTTTTTTCAAATATTTTCTCGTTTTTATCACAGCAAAGGGTAGGCGTGTATAGGAGAAGGGGATAGATGTCTGAATTAAAGGAAGAACGTGGAAGGAGATAAAGAACAATGATAAGAAGAAAGGGAATCAGGAGTAGAAGAGGAAGAGAAGGAAACAGAAAAAAAATATTGAATTAGAAACAGAAGAGGAGGGGGAATAAACAGAGCAGAAGAATGCGATAGATAGAAAGAGATGAAAAAGTAAAAAAAAAATCTAATTAAATAAATGTGATCAAAGATGGACTCTGTCGTAATATTCTTAGCAGACTGTAGCTGCTAATCACTTGATAATCTCCCTGGCTTTGATATGTTGAGAAATACACAGTGAGTCTTCTTACACCTGTTCTGTAGGAGGGAACTGAATTCCTTTCGAGGGAAAGCTCGGAAAGCAACGGCTGTATATACATACATCATGTATGCATACGCACATACGTACATACATACATATGTATATGTATGCGCATATTATAATATATATATATATATATATATATATATATATATATATATATATATATATATATATATTATATATAATTATATATATATATAGAGAGAGAGAGAGAGAGAGAGAGAGAGAGGAGAGAGAGAGAGAGAGAGAGAGAGAGAGAGAGAGAGAGAGAGAGAGAGAGAGAGAGAGAGAATGGGAAAAATCCGTTTTTAGGTTTCATATCAGATTTTCCATTTTCCTTTACTCTTCTTTATTGACTCCTTTTATTCATCGCCCAATTCTACTACTTTCCGGCATTTTCCTCCTGCTTCTTCTGCTCTTTTCTCTCTCCTATAAACTCCTCAGAGCCAGGGAAATGCATTCAAATAAAGACAAAAACAAAAAGATTTTTTTTTGTTCCTTTTTTCTCTTTTGTTTGCTGTTATGGCATCACTTCCAACAGACGTGTCAGTGAGTGTTCTTCTTCTGTCTCCTCTTCTCCCCTTCTTCGTTGGACATCTGTGTTGTGGTGGTCTGTTGGAGGTGAAGCAAGGAGGCTGATAAAGGGACGAACGAAGAAGCGATGATAAAGATGGGTATGGGGGGGGACCGAGAAGAGAGGACGAGGAGGAGTGGGGAAGGAAAGGGGAGGAAGAAGGGAAGAAAGGTAAAGAAGAATAGAAGAGAATGGAGTGCAAGGGAGAAAGAGAAACAGAGGGCAAGGTGAGAGAATGGGGAAGTGTGGGAACTTGAGATTAAACGAACAGGAAGGAAAGGAAAGCTAGAAGAGCAAGAATAAGGGCAAGGAATGAGACGAGACAAGGAGGAGAGGAGGACGAAGGCGGCGGCGACGCTGAAGAAGGAGGACACAGAAGAAAACAGAACTCCTCTGCCAGTCCGGCCGCCCTTCCACCTTCTCTGTTGCTATCTCTCCCTCCTTCTCCTCCTCCTCCTCCTCCTCCTTTTCCTCCTCTTCCTTTCATCCTTCTCGTCACTTTTCCTTCTCCTTCTCCTCCTCCTCCTCTTCTCATCCTTGGCGTCACTCCTTTTCCTCCATTTCCTGTCACTCCTGCCTTCCATCCTCCTCCTCCTCCTTGTCCTCCTCGTCCTCGTCCTCTTCCTCTCACCGTCCTCGCCGTCCCTCTCCTTTATCTTCTCCTTTCATGTTGCTGTGTCTCCTCTCTTCTCTCAGTGGGCGAACTTGAGAGCGAAGACAGTGGAGGCGAGGAGAGCCGGCAGGTGGACGGCGAGGGAGTCCCCGTCGTTGCCTGCCTCCTCGCCGTCGTCGCCGCCGTCGTCGTCGCCGGAGTCCTCGGGCTCGGCGGCAGCGTCTGAGGGAACGAGGAACAGTGAGTCAAGGGGAACGAGTCTCGGACTGAAACAGGAAGAAGCTTTTCAACTCGAAGAAGTCAGGGAATTCATCCTGCGACGCGGAAATAGCAGTGCGCCTGTAGGGGAGAAAAGCCTTTGCTGGTGGATGAGGAACGCTACTTCTTAGGACACTATGGCAGGAGAGGAAGGACTTATGGTGTGTAATTAGGAGCACACTCTGTTGGCGGGGAAGGACTTTTACTGCTCCGTAAAGAACAATGACACGGGGTTATTATTTAACTAGAGGAGGGAGGGATAAGATGACTATTGGGAAAGAATCCCTTAGTTGGAGGCAAGAATCTCCCCTATGTGGAGGATGACCGACCATGAATGACGTAAGGTCTTGTGAGATGAATGGCAAGAAAATAGGATTTGCAAGGATTTATTGCGGGGAGGATCTTTAATACGGTGGAGGGAGGAATTACTTTAATGAAGAAAATTTAAGAATTTAAGAGGCACATTGTACACGTAATTGTTACGGGGAAGAGAATACTAATATGCGTGTTTTCGAGAACAAAACCAATGAATGAAGGTTTTATTATGAAGAACAACACGCGAAGGACTATTATTACAACCTCGCATGATACACAAAACGTTAAAAACACCAATAGTCTTTAATGATTTTCTTTTCGTGGAGGAAAAATAAGATTAAGATTTGCATAAAAAGCGTTTCTAAATAATATGCATCGGTAATAAAAGAGTCGAG